GCCAGGAGCCCCTAGTAGCTTCTTGTTACTAGTAGTAATGCCAGGAGGAGCTAGTAGCAACCTTGTTTATCCAATATTTTCTGGGCCGGGATCAATGTCTACCTCCTGTGCCGCCTAGGAAACGGCCTTGAGCCCTGCTTATTGGAGGTGTGGGTGCACTATGCATCGGCAGTGGCGGCAATGCTTGCTTTGTCAGTACTTGTATGGATCAAAGCACCACATGATCAGGTCTACAGTCCACATTCCCCTTACCTGGTTGGAGAGTTGCGCCGTGATCGCTTATGTTAGTTTCAATTCAAGACATGCCGATATACCCATGTTTGATTTCTTGTTTGTCAATATCAGTATACTAACGAACTGCTCCGCACGCGGTTGCACCTGTCTCTTCTCTGGAGGCCTGCGGTGATCATGGAGTGCCTCGATCAGCATGGACTTAGACGGACCACGAACTCCTGAGCTAGGTTCGATGAAGGAAAGGGTCAAGGCAATCTCTAGGGGATGCTGATCCAGGGGGTGCTGGTCAAGATATTGTTTAGATAATATATATGCATTACAAAAGATTATAAACCATTATTTGTACAACATTGAAACCGTCCTCAAGATGTTTAATGACATATAAATGGATAGTAAATAAGGTTCATGCAATTGGGCCTGACAGGCTGCTCACTGTTTTTTCCTTCCACTGCTGCTCGGTGCGATTCAGTCGGACATCTGATTTAAGATATCCTCCAGGCTATCCCAACTCTGATCTTCTTTCAAGATCTCTGATGAAGAGCTTGCTTTCCTCTTCTTGGATTTTTTTTCTTGGTCTTCTTATCTTTTGTCTTTTTGTCTTTCTTTTGTTTCTTTTCCTTTTCGTCTTTGGCGCATTTGGCCTTGGCCTTGGCACGAGCACGTCTCTTGGGCTGCTGAAAAGAGGAACTTGCAGCAGCAGCCTTCTCATTCTGATCGTCGCCTGACAGGTCAAGAACAGTACCAATGCAACAGTCATTCCAGTCCACACTTGACAAGTCTGTCAGGAAAATTGAAAAGTGGGTCTCAGCACAAACAGTCTAGAAAATGCAATATTAGCAATAATTTATGCTGCCTGGGCCGTCGTCATCATCATCAGCAGCGTTTTCACCGCCATCATTACCGTCACCGTCACCGTCGCCGTCACGTGATGGTGGCAATCCTGGGTATAATGTAGAACAACTTTTTAGGATGCTGTAATTCAAATTCAATTGTTGTCTATTACTTTTATGCTGACTCACTGACTCAACTCGCTTCCTTAAACTTAATTTCTTACCATGACATGCCACATCCTCAAATTGAATGGAAATCACAGAGTAACTGTCCTTGTTCCTTCCTGTGGAACACATCCATTGCCGTTGCCAACGCTGCAGCCACAATGTCTGGAGCTGGTTTGTCCGAATCCACAGCCTGAGACAGACAGGGTGTTCAATTGCCCATTCAATGCGACCATGTCAACAACATGACTCACTGATCAACTGTTCAATCATTATTGAACAAAGAAATGAACAAGTGCAAATCAAGGAACACGTCCTTTCTCAACATGGTTTCCCCAAAGGAAATCCAGGCAGTAACTCAGAGCGGACATTGGGCTTCTTGCTCCCACACGACTGCCTGTCCATTGCATTGAGACTGATTTGGTGGGACGTCCGGCAGGGTAATATGCCTCGAACGCAGCGTTGTTGAAGTCCATCACCAGCGAAGCGCCTCTGTATGCGGGACACAGTTCCTTGATCACGGCAGGTGTCGTGTTTTCAACAGCCTTCCGTTCCCCAACTTGTCGTGTAGCGAATTCTCGCCAGCGCTCCTCCATTTGAATCCGACTCAGGCGATCGTTCAATTGCCTGAAGTCATACTCACGCTCATCTGCAGGCAATGCATTGAGCGCTTCCTTCATCAATGCTGCCGGAGCCTCGAGCGTAGTTTTGGCATCCCCAGTCAAAGTAATCCACATTGATGTCTTTTGCTCAAATTCCAAATCGCTGAACTCTTTCTCGATGATGCTCCAAACAATCAGCTTTGACTTGGGTAATTTTGCTTTGTCTTTTGGCTTGAGCAGCGGAGCCCCAGACACAAACCTGAGGCTTTGCAAGGTGTCCTCTGTGATGCCAGCCATTGATCCACCTTCAAGCCAAAAAGGAATCAAACGCTGAGCATCTCCAGTTTTCTTGAGAAGCAGCCCATGGTGTCGTAAACAATGAGGAAGTTTGGCCGGATAGCCTGACTGAGACAGACTGCAAAAAGCATAAACACAAAATTAAATTAGGTCCGCAAATGTCTTCTCATTTCTTTTTGGTAGTACAGTTACAGTCTTACAACAGTGATGACAATTTGGTATGTCAGTGAATCTGCCAGTGTCGAATGACTTTAAAAAACAAATGGCAGCATTAGCATTAGCACTTACTGCATTTTTCCTATAATGATAATAAGATGTTTGTTACTTTCCGTAGATGCGTTTGTTTGTTTGGCTGGTGTGTCAGGGTCCTGACTTGAATTTGAAATGCTGATGCTGATCCGCTGATCTGTTTGGTCTGGAGGTATTTAATTGCAGTAGTGTGGAATTAAGTGCGAATGAGTAGCACAGTTCGTGTGGAACACCCAGAAACTCCTCCCGATCATCATGGGCAGAATCTAGCCCACTTAGGTGCTGCAGTGTCATGAACTGCAAATTGGACACCGCTTCATTCTTCTGGCTCTCTGCAAAGGAAGGACACTTGTAGTAGATGTCATCTCCTTCTTCAACGACTATCATTCTCCATCCCAGCGCTGCATACGATCTGAAATCCAAGCTCAGGAAAACCGTGGAGTCAGCTTGCCGGAGGAACAACCTTCCACGTTGCAACAAGCATCCTGCCCACATTCCAGAAAGTCCATGATAACCAGACGAATGAGTAGCTTCCAATGCCGCGACACAAGCCACTGTCCTATCTTCAGCATCTGTTCCAGCTGGTCTGAAGTCCTGTTCAAGGTGATTTTTTTAGCAGCTTCAACCCTTTTAATTGTCCTGGAATTGAATTGAATATTTTTTTCAGGAAGAATATGGAATTAACCGGAACCGGTTGGTCAAAGTTGTCGTGCTGAGAGCTTGTTAAGACCAAGCCTGCACAGAAGCTCTCAATGCAGTGATGGTGGATTCTGTAAACTTTGAGTGATTCTGCATCTTCTTGAACTCTGCCTGGGTGGGTGGTCGAAAATCTGACTCCTTCACATCACTGAACTCTGCATGTTGACAAAGGTCACCATTGGCCAACCTCAGCATGCTGACGTTGGAGGAGTCGAAGCGCTTGGACTCGCAAGCGTTATACTTGACCCTCACCATTCTGGTATCTTGCCGTCTGTTGTGACGACCCAAATTTTGGAGATCCTGGAGTATATCCTCTTGAGTGGTCTTCGTATGCGGAACTGGTGAAAATATTCTCCAGAAGAAGCTGTAGACTGTGCTGCGAAGCCATTGTGTTGCTTGAGCTTTAGCCCAAACAAGCCTGACCAGCGGAAGGCGGTTGAACCATACATTGTCCAAGCAATGCCCAAGTGCCTTTGTGTGACACAGATGCCACAGGCAAAATTGTTAGAAACTAAATTATTGTCATTTTTTGTCTCTTTGTGGTAAGTTACATATCGAAACAACTGCGACTGTCGTCTGTGATCCTGAAACAACTCAAAACAGCATCTGCAGCTGCAGCAAAGCTTCAACTCTGTCATTGTGATTCGGATTGTTCACTGCTGCCTCTGCCCCAGGATCAGAAGTGCAAGATCCCGTGTTCTAGCCATAGCAGCCAAGGACTCATCATCATCATTGCTCAACACGCCAACCCATTGGTCAGGCAATGACAAACTGTACGACATCATATGCCATGAACGAGCTGTAGCAGTGCAAATGGTCAGCGAAAAAAAGTCTTTAGCTCGACGGTCTTGAAGCTCCAAAGAATCACCGGAGGAGCCCACTATTCCCACACGGAAGAGGACACTCGGATCATGAAGCTGCCGAAACAAAACTCCAAGTTCGGTTGCAACCCAATGCTTGTTGGCCCGGTCTGCTTGGAACTGAATGCTTGTGCTGGTTTGCTTCGACTGACGCAAACACTGCAAGTGGGTGAAAAAGATTGGACTGTCACAATAGTCAATCCTGAGCCGAGCCGAGGGCAGGCTAGCAGGGGTCTGACAAAAACATGGCTATAGTGAGCGAGGGAACAGTTCTTTGACAACCCCATAATTACAGCAAATGGTCAAACTTGTAAATGGCAAGACCATGTCTCATGCGACATTTGTAGTGAAGGTCCTTCCTTTGCAGAACCAACGCTGACACCTCCATGCTATTTGCTCCACTGTCGAAAGCTCGTTTCTTCAGTTTGTGTGCTTCGTCCACACGTTGCACATCCTGCAATCAATCCGACTTGACTTGATTGTTTGGCAACATAAATTGAAGATGTGTAAATTGATGTGAATTATGCTGTTGCTTTTCCCTGACTGACGAATCGACGAAGCTTTTAACAAAACATTTCAATATTGAGCCCTTGTCCAAAGTTTGCGCAATAATAATATAATTGGTTAAACAGTTTTGTCAGTCAGTCAGTCAGTCCTCTGCTCCCAATAAGTCAATTGAAGGACGCTTCTTCCCCTTCAGGTCAGTAGCCATGATGCATAGCTTCAGGTCAGAAGTCCAGCATTGATCAAAGCCAGAGTGGGTGTGACGCCGTTTCGGATCATTGATCATATTCAAAGGACTGACGTCATTCTCGTCTGTGACCGATTCAGAAAGTCCCCTGAATCTTACCAGGAATGAGAACCACTTGCGATTTTTCACCTGCAATGGACTGGGAGGTCTGCCCAGAAAAGTAAAAAAAGGGTACTGCAATATTTACAAATTGTAATGACTCTTACTAATAAACAAACACCACACAGTCACACGCACAAAAAAACTATCAACTTACGCAGTAAACTTTACTGCCAGTTGAGTTGCTTTGCCGACTGATTTGCAACACTGATTGGCATGTCGAAGAAACTGGGCGTGTTTCTCTTCCATTGAAAGTCCGGCAGAAGAGTCCCAGTCAAAGGTGAAGCCCTCTGAAAACTCTTGGAACCTTTGCAAGCGGGTGAACGATTTCTGAATCCCGTCTAGTTAGTTACTTGACACTGCGTTTATTTATAATATAATTATTACTGTTTTATATAATATATTACTGTAGATTGTAGCCTTGTTTGTCATGTGACTCAGGTCAAAACCAACCCTAATCTTCACACATGTTTTTTAATGACTTCATTCCCATCAAAGAGTTGACATTACTAGTGAAACCCATTCTTGACAGGTCCCGGTGACTCTGCGCTTTCAGGACCATAGTGATCTTGGAATTCCTTGACAGCTGCTGCTTTAGCCCTGCCGAATGATCCATCCCCTCCTCTG